GCTGCTTCATAGTATCTTCATCATGCCTTTTCCAACCAGACCCCACCAAAGCAAGTCAGTTATAAGCTTCCTAGTCAATCACTTTCCAAAGGTCTTTCCAATGATCATAGGAGGCTTTAGAGGGACATCTAGATGTAAACTGTAACAATTTGTTGTACAAGAACATATATTGGAAGTCCTTGGGTGAGTTCCATGTGTAGTTTCCATGTGTAGTTTCCTCCACAAAACCTGCCAGTATAGATTCTATTACAAATTCTATTTCCTTCAGATTCCTGCAAGAGAGGGTGAAGTGTGCCAAAAGTTGTCTTACTTCCCATGGAAAATGAAATTCTAAATTCTACATAGAACATATGGCCAGGATGATTCTGGTTGATGTCATGTTTGGGAAATAATACCTCTCTTTGGAAACAGTGGGGTTATGGAAACCAAGAAAAGAGTATTGACTGAAGACCTTCAGTTTGAGGTCTGTCTGCATTCTTTTCCATCTAAGACCCAAGAGACATCTAGTAACCATGTGCAAATGAACTATGCTCTAGAAGCACAGATCAGCTGAGCCACCAGAGATGTTCTAAAAGTCTTGGCTATGTTTTCTGGTGGAGAGCAGTGATCTGGATAGTTACTTCTCCATTGAGTGAGGAGATCCAGGGGGTGGAGGCATGCAGTATCTGGTGCAGAACTCAAGGTATTTATTTAGCTGATTTCTATGCTTCTCTTTTAAAGGTACCTAACCTCCCAAAGAAGAGCTCTCAGGGGAATTCTCTGAATTCACAGTGCATTTCCTTCCACTCTTATACTGAATGAAAGACAGAGCATCACATGCTCTTATCCCTGAACTTCCTCTGATCACCATGCATTTAATATTTGGAGAAATAGCAACACCTTAATCAAGCCTCGGGCATCTGTTTAAATTCTACCACAATGATATAAAATATGCAAAGACCAGCAGAGACCAGGAAATGTCTGTCTTCTTTCTTTCCTCCCAGCAACCACAAAGGGATGAGGTATGTTTCGCTGTCAAAATGAGTTGATGTATGTACAAAGCACTTTAAAAATACGTCAGCATATAGTTTTAATATAGTATTTTAAGGGTTTTGACCCCTTGAAATAAAAAGTGCAAATAGTTATTTGGCAAATTTACTTGCTCACTTTCATGTCATATCCCATTTCTAACCCATGTCACCAGGGTAATTCCAAAAAAAATTCCTTCAGAATATCATAAACTAATAATTTTATATATGTTCTAAGTTTACATATGAGTTTCTTTGCCATTATCCTCCGTACTTGTAACTTTGATGATTACAAAGAATTTAGTTATCCAATTAGAGGTGACTATTCAAAGAAAATTATGGTAGTGTTGAAAAGCTAAATCCACATTGGAAAAGAATATTTAATATCCTATGAAAATAGCCAGAATTTATTTTTAAGCAGGAGAAAAATGGAACAAAATAATATGGAGAAACTATATGTAAAAAATGCACATACACACATAATGAAAATTAAGATTTTTTTAAAAGATTGATAAGATATATAGAAATGTTAATAGTATAGGAATTCTTTTAAAAAGTAATTTTCACATCTATACTGAATTTTATATAATGACAGATACATTATATGAAAAAAAAAATTATTAGAAAAGACTCAACCAAATGGAAATAATTAGACAAATTAGCTGAAGAGATTGTAGAAGCAAAATGCCTTGCTGGTTGAATTTTCCAGTGCTTAGCTAGTTGATTTCACTGTAAGCCTGGCCTTGTGTGTTATTTTAGAAGCATAATGTTCCATAAAGTCCAAACAAAAGAGATGTGGATACCAACATATGGGGCTGTTGATTTTTCCATGAGACCAACCATCAGATTTCCTGAGCCTAGGATGAGTTAGATAGCTCAGTGGATCAGTTCATTTTCAGCAAGGCTAGAGATTGCTTGTGGGGGTGGCCTTCTGTTTCTTACAGAGGAGTGGTGAATGGTCTCAGGCAGATGTCCAAGAAATTCAGATGTTGGAGAAGATCACTGTGCAGATACAGGGGTATTTCATGTCTTTATCATAGAGGAGACACAACAAAGCAACAGGCAGAAACAAATGGCTACAGAAAAAAGTTTCCCCAAAGATGAGGAAAACCACTTTTGCATATCAAAGAAAATCAAGTCTCTCACCCCTATCCTGGTCATTTTTAAAATTTCTTTTATATAAATCAACAAAAATCAAAATCTCTTGAGCTATTAGCCCAAATCATGAAAAATAAATACTGAGCTTTCGGTATATATCAGTTACTGCTACTAAATCATGATTAAATTACTCATCTTAGAGGGATAATTTTGGAATTACATTTCTTTTAGAAAAAGACAAGTGAATGTACAGGTATCCTAGTAGGTGCTGGCTCACCTGCCTTCCTTCCCTCCTTCCTCCCTCCCTCCTCCCTCCCTCCTCCCTCCCTCTCTCCCTTCCTTCCTCCTTTTCTCCTTCCTTCTCTCCCTCCCTCCACCTGTCTCTCCGTCCCTTCATCCCTTCTTTCTTCTTTCTCTTCCCCTCCGCCGCCTCATTGAACTCGGCACTGCACTTGAGTATGTATTTTCTCCTAGCAGTCACAACATATTCTACCAAGGAAAAGAAACGTTGAAGGTAAAATAACAAATACTCGGGACCTTTGTAGAAGTGCAACACCTTAATAAAATATTGACATTCATCATATTTGCCTGGCATTTTGTTGTCTTGAAAATTGTACGTGAAATACATAGCTAAAGAGATGGAGCTAATAATTGTCAAGTACCCGTGGACAGGGAGCTTCTGCCTCTGCATCTTTGCTGGCTTCTTCAGGCATGACGGTATATGGCATGTAAAATATTCATGGCTACACAAAAATCAAACCCTGGTAATAGGGTTTAGGCTGGTCTTAAGTGGTTGGAATGGAATCATACTTTTAAAGCAAGGCATTCAGTATGATCAAAGGGACCATCTGCCAAAGTGATGATATTTTATTTTCTAAGAAAACCACAAAAAATAAGCCAAAAGAATATTAAAAGTTTTTTTTAATGCTGAGTTTCAGGCACATTTTTGCAAGCTAATAGTGACTGACCTCCCACGACATATGGAATGGGGTCTATGATGTCCTCCCTGCTGATCCGTAAAACCTGACATGCAGCTGCTCAGTTCCCACGCCACCTCAATCCCTGCACTCTTCTTCCTTGTGGAGCTTCGCTGTTCGTTTGTTGTAATTTATGTGAGTATATGTTTGTGGTGTATAACGAACATAACACCCCGGGATGTTATACATATCACACCCTTAACATTTTCACTTCCCTTTTGTCTTCCCCTCTTCTGGCTCCCCATTTCCACATCTTAATTCTCCTTGTCTTTTTTTTAGTGCCTATCACTTGCCAATTTCACCGAGTATATAAATAAAGCGGGCTCCACTTAGGGTTGCCATCTTTACTTTTTACTCTCTTTTGATTTCAGGAAAGAAACCAGGTCTCTTGCCTCTTCTTCAGGTGCTAATTTGCAAAGCAAAATCTGCTGGCAAGCAGTCCTTTCCGAGATGATGGAAAGCTGACGCTTACTGTGGAGCTTAGGAGAGATGCCGAGAGTGAGAGGGAGCGGGTGTTTGCCCCTGGCTGGGGAAAGAGCGGAAGGGCCAGACGGGGGCGCTGTGCAGCCTGCAGTCTGGTTGGCCATTTAAAAAATTTTGGCCTTCCTTAGCATTGGACAGGAAGCTATCAGAGGGTTTTGAGTGGAAGAATGCATGTTCTTCCATTTTAAGAACATTTCTCTGTGGCTACCTTAAGAGTAATATGGAGGAAGCAGGGGATGTAGAGAGAAATGCGGGGTGCTGCCCCAGTGATCTCGGCAAGAGACTGGTGGCTCAGACCCAAGTGGTGGCTGCAGGATTAACGAAAGTGACCAGTCTGGGGACAGAAGGCCTTTGGATGTTTACTTGCTTTTTAGAAATTTAATTTAATTAAATTTTATAATTAATTGGTGCATAACTGTATACATCTGTACGTGTTATAGCGTACCATGTGATATTTTGGTACATATATGTATATATATATATATTATATACACATTGCGTCATTTTTAAATCAGGATAAACACACCTAGCTAAAGATTTATTATTTCTTTATGGTGAAAATATCCAAAATCCTTTCTTCTAGCTTTTAAAACTACTTAGTATATGTTTACACTATTTTGACTGGCAAATAACTTTACACATCTGGGGGTCTGTGACGTTTTGATTCTATATGATGCGGCATGATGACGTCAAGCTAGGTAGCACACTGGCACTTCGCTTCCCTGTCAATCAAAATTATGAGACGTTTGAAATTTACTGACAGTTATACAGAACTTTATAATATAATGAATTATTCCTATAGTGAATTATATTAATATAATAATAGTTTATTCCTATAGTGATGCTTTAAAATGAGGATTAGGGCTCAAGACATCCTTGCAAGATATACTATGGGGTGCTGTGCATTTAAAGATAGTACGGCCTGCAGATGTGGACTGCCAATGTCTGGCCACAAAGGCGTTGAACTCATAACCCTGCTTTCATTAGCTTCCCCCTTAATCAGTTCAGCTAAATACAGGTCAAGACCCTGCAGACCCACAGCTCCCCTCCACTGAGTCCTACTGAGAGCGAGCACTACCCGGCAGCTCCACATGAAAGCCTTGACATGCCTTTGCCTTTGTAGCTAAAGCAGAAATAAGTGCCTGTGGAACAGATTTAGAAAATAAAGTTTGCAGAGTTCTGCTGGTAAAGTGCCAACCCTGGCCCTCCCAGACGAATGCAGACATTCCAAAAAGCTCAGTGTTATGTGCCCACCTTGATGCTCATTTTTAATTGGAAGTGAATTAAAAAGCTCTGAATTTGCTCGCTTTTCCACAGGAGCTCAGTTTACCTTCTGAGCACACAGCTGAGTGCTCTAACAGGCTCCCGCGAGGTAAAGAAATACCGTGTATTAAAGCTCCATCACTAATAAGGTGGAGATAACCAACTCTTGAACAAAAATTCTCAACCCTCCTGCACCCACGGCACAGTGTTCCTTCACAGGAGAATAATCACGTGGGGAACATTCCAATTATGAGGCAATTGGTTTGTTTTTCTAGCAGACTTGCTTTATTAGGAATCCCCTAATGTGTTACTCGTTCTGCTACAAAGTGTGACAATTTATGGTTCATTCTGGGGATTTCAGAAAAGGGAAAGATCTTGCAAATTATTATCTGTGACAGAATTATAATTTTACAAATGGTTAATCTCAATCATCTGTCTCTTTTTCCTCTTGGGTTAAGTGAGAAAATTATATCTTGCAAAATTAGCTGTCAAAATGTGAGCCTGTGGTTTTGGAGTATTCGTACATCAGGAAGACGGAAAGAAGATCTTCATGAATGGTCTGCATTAAATAAATAAAAAGGCTATTGGTGAGCCACAATGCTCTGCTGCTATTTCACGGTTTGGTCTGGTCAGCAAAGAAACACGTCTCACGGCTTCCCAGTGGTCAGATAATATAGACCAAGTTGCATCAGGACTCGGTATGACCATTACCTGCTCCTGGGGACAGCATCAAAGTGTGAAATTTGTACCTGTGCCTCCCTTTTGGACTGGGTACAAATGATAATGTGTATTATTTTCTTTTTAAAATTATTTTCCATTGTTATTGCAGTGACTATGGTAAATATTTTGATGATAGAATCATTGAAAAATATTTGCCAATAGGAAAATTGTACATGGATTCTCAGACCAGGGTTTAGGTCAAAGCACAGCAGTGTGAGGTAGAAGAGAGCATTTAAAGAGAAAAGTTGGAAGTCAAGGACTGTGTGAAAATGTCAAATAATCTTTGACATTTCACTGAGTGTTCCTCCTTGGCTTCTGAATCACTGTGCCATGCTTCTGATGTGTGTGCCTACTGCAGTAATAACTCCAGGCCTGAACAGAAGTATCTAGCAAAACTTTGCTTCTGTTCCCCAGCTCTGCCTCAGGTGACAAACAGGACCGTGGCCATCTTCCCCGTTCTGACATGGTGTTGTGGCTCCTCTGACTGAGATCAAGGTAACAGACAGACATGTGCACACTTCCTGTGCAGCTTTTCTGTGTGCCTCTTAGGAATCCAGTACTGTCCAGGGTCATTCAGTCCAGCCTGGCTCCAAAGTGCGGAGCAAGCGTCGTTGTGAAAAGAGAGCACAGAGTGGGAATGAAGGTGACAGGAGCGTGCAGGGCCATAATGAAGGTAACCACAATGTGCAGAGCAGTAGCCAAAGTGACAAAAATGTGCAGAGCAATAACGAAGGTAACAGGAGAGTGCAGAAAAAGCATGGTAAGCAGAAGGCTGGGAGAAAATGACCATTGAATTACAGAAGGAAATTGTAGAAATGCACGAGCGTGGTATTCACGTGACTAATCTGGCCTCGGAGTATAAAATGATGAAGTTGGCAATCATGACTGTTTTGAAGCATAAAGATGCCAGCAAAGGAGCTGATGGGCAAAAGGAGTAATGCTGTTAACCAAGCAGAGGACACAAGTGCTGGAAGAGCTGAAAAAACTTTGTTAGTGTAGTTAAATGAGAAACCGGCAATGGCGTTAGTGAAGCTATGGTCTGCAAAGAGACCGGGAAACTGCAGTGATTTACTACAAGAAAAGCCCTCTGTAAGAGCAACAGTGATGAATTCAAAGCCAGTAGAGTGTATTTTAATAAATTCTGCAAAGGAAGTGGTGTCCACGCTGTGATAAGACATGGTGAGGCTTCCCGTTCCGACAAGGCCACTGCAGAAGCTGACTGGAAAGAATTCGTGGAATTCATGAAGGCAGAAGGATGCATTGCTTAACAAGCGTTCCGCTGCAGTGAAACAGAACCTTTATCACTCAGGATGAGGTGGCTTCTTCTGACGGACAATGCCCTCCAGCTTTGGTGGGTGATATGGAGACTAAGTATGACTTCAGAAAGTTCAACGTCTTCCCCCCAAGATGACACCTCTCCTGCAGCTCATGGGCCAAAAAGTGATCTGCAGCTTCAAGAAGCTGTACACAAAGGTGCTCTTCACCAGGTATTTTAATGTCACTGAAGAGATGTCCCTGACTCTGAAGAGTTCTGGGGGAAGCTCTTCAATGTCCTCTAGTGCATCAGCCTCACTGAATAAGCTGGGGAAGATGTCACACTCCGGACCTGAAATTCAGCCTGAAGGAAGCTGGCCAGACCTATCACTGAATGAGACTTCGAAGGGTCTGATGCACAGAGAGTGGCAGAGACTGTGTTCACGGGCAGGAGTGTGGGTCTGGACATTGATGGTGCAGACACAGAGGAGCTTGTTGAGAACCATAAGGAGAAGCTGATGGTGGAAGAACTTGCTGCACTCCAGAGTGAGCAGCAGAAGGCGCTTGCTGAGGAGCACGCCCTGAGGAAGAGGAAGACAGGGAGGAGATGAATAGCGACATGATAAAATCCACTATGGAAAATGGAATGAATACCAGGATTTCTTTGAGAAGCACCACCCCGACATAACTGCAATGGCCAGTGTGTTGTATCTGATGAAAGACAATGTGGTCTCTCACTTCCAGAGGGTTAGGCAGTGGAGGAAAAAACAAGTGATATTAGACAGATTTTCATCAAAACTGACCCTGAAGCTAAAGATGAAGAAGAGAGGAAATCCCTGAAGGAGATCTTCCCAATGTCCTCACGGAGGGGGCTTTCCCTGCAAAGAATAACCTCCTCCCCATGACCAGAAGTCACCTCCAAGCCAAAGTCTCCTCAGGCAAGCTTAGTGTTCTCTTTCTTCAGACTGTAAGGTACTTTGTTTTATTTTTTCTGGTTAAAAAATATGCTACGGTTCAGAATAGATAGGCCTTCTTTACACCAAACCTTATGGGAAATTTGACTCAGTTCACGATCAGAATCATGGAGTGAATTAAGTTCGTAAAACGAGGCACTGCTATAATTTGTCTTTTGCTTGTCTATGTGTGTATAGTTGTTATCTTCCCCACAGCTGGGCTGCAAATTCAGTTTCTGGAACACAGCAGACACTAGATTAGTAACACTAAGTAAATAACTAAACAGGAAGAAAATAGAATTGAATATGGAGTAAAGGACATAACTAAAAATAAAAATGGCTCATAAATTGGACTGCATAGATACCTAAGCACATGACTGAGTAACCCCCCTACAATTCCTGATATATTTTTGAGCTTGGAAGAAAGAGTATCTGCCTGTGCCTGTATGTCTTTCAAGTTTATACAACGGAGAAAAAAATGGAGATTGTACAAAGTTTAGCAGTGTCTTCAGGGGCTTTACACACAAACATGTTGCTACAGCTTAACCTCTGGTTGTGTCTGAGAATGCCGTGATTCTGTAAAAAAAAAAAAAAAAAAAAAAATGTAGATGTTTGTATTCCACCTTACAGCTGATGATTTTAAACTCATCAGAATTTCCAGACCTCAGTGTATGTTTAAATTCCACAAGTCACCCTGAGATTGTCCAGAGCTGAGGATTCCTTACTAAGGATTATTGCTGTCATTCTGCCCAAAGAAGGGGCAGAAAATGCTGGACCTTTCCCCTTGATCTTTCCCTATCTTATCTCAGTCTGTGTGTGTGTGTGGTGGGGGTGGGTGTGGGGGTACTGGAAATCTGGGGACTGCACTCAGGGCCTTCCCAGTGAGCCACATGCCCAGCCCATTTTTTATTTTTTTATTTTGAGACAGGGTCTTGCTAAGTCACTAAATTATCTGAGTGGAGTTTAAACTTGCAATCCCCCTGCCTAAGGCTCCTAAAATGCTGAGATTGAAGATGTGCGCCATCATCCCCAGCTTTTAGTCTGGGGTTTAGCTGAAGGAGTGGAAGACCCCACACCTCTTGGTAAAAGGATACAGCTGTAGCTCAGCTGTAATCTGCACAAGATGAAGCCGCTCTGGAGGCGTCAGCAGGTGTTACCTGAGCCCTGTGTGGACGAGCACTGACCTGCCTTCCCTCCTTCTCACTCCCCCTTTTCTCCTGCCTTGTAACCTCCTCCTTCCCTGCCTTCCTCCCTTCCTTCTTCCTCTCTCATCTGTCCTTTCTTTCCTTCTTTCTCTTTCTTTTGGTTTCTCTCTCTCATTTTCAAACATCTCCACCAATAGCCTCTATCAAGTGGCATATTTGTTTTTTCTCCATTCTCTATTTAAGTGCTTCCTCGCTCTTTATACTCCCTTTATTGGCTCCGTGTTGGAGGTTCAGCTTCCTTTAATGTCTACTTTTCATACCTTTGGCTTCCTCCTGAGACTTGAGAAGCATCAGATTCTTGTTATAGCAAAACACCCAGCTCAGCATCCCTATTAACTAGTTTACTCCTGATGGAGAATCCCAGTGGCTCAGCTCATCTTTCCACAAAAGGCTGCATCTTAGGTTGCCGGTCAAACACCTCCAGAGCAGGTATCTCTTCTAATGCAGTCATCATGGGACTGCCTGGATGTTGGGAGGCACAATGAACAAAGTTTGCCTTTAGGCTGTTCTAGAGGAACTGTGCATATGGCAGATATTTGTCTCAACATCTGTTGAGTTTTATAGCGACTTATGTTTATTTAAATACATGGTAAATCTCTGTCCCTTGGACAAAGGTCTTCTATCTAGAACATATAACAAATTAAAAAACATCAGCCCCCACAAATTCAAAGCCCCAATCCAAAAATGGGTGTCTGAGATAAACACATACTTCTCAGATAAAGAAACACAAATGGCAAATAAATACATGAGCAAATGTTCAACATCATTAGTCATTTGAGAAATGCAAATTAAAATAACACTGAGATTTCATATCACCCC